GAACTTTAGGTGTATCTTTCATTCACATTTAATATTCTGCACAGTACACCATTTTACTAATGACAATATTCAGTTTCGAGTACCTGTGGGTTTCCATAGCGAATGCAGGAGATCTCTAGCCCAGCATGGAGGGAATATTCACTGGATCTAGTCATTTCGTTAATACTGATGGTTTCATTTTACTGTACTCATGTTCCTCAAACAAAAATTTATCATCATTTACCAACCCCAGGTCCTCTGCCTTCTCTAACTTCTTAAAATTAATTTGCTTATTTTCATCCTTTATTACTGTATATGCTACATGACTTTCTACGGTCCTGGTAACAGTCATCACTTAACACTCACAAGGTCTGGGGCTGCGGAGACAGCCACTCATCTTGTGGTACAGGTGTATGGTATAGTACTGTGTATAGCTAGGAGTGTTAAAGACATGATCCATCAGTCTCACTCTACAATCTATACATTAAATACTTATGAATTGGTTGAGACCAATGTAATATTACCTTAGAATTCATTTTTGAAACAAAAAAATTCATATACAGTAAAGGTTGTACTGTACTAGGAGGGGAGCGTATCGATGTGACAAAAAGTTTATTATTTCTAGTAAATTTTATGATCAGTTCTTTCTGTATGGTTGGTTTTTCCTCACACCAAGAGCATTTATGGCGTTCTGTCCTGCGGCTTAAACTGTCTGAGGATTGTGGGCACACCTCTGGCAGTGCCATGAAACCACCAAAGAAAAAGAAAACATTCAAGACTCTTTTGGAAATTGTACAAATTCTCATGTGTTTGGATGCTGGGAAAACTGCCAACCACATTGTTAAGGAATATGGCAAAACGAATCAACAATAAGGGCAATTAGAAAAGACAAGGAGAAGATTCAGAAGGCAAAAGTTTAGCCTTTCATCACTAGTGCGGGATGGCTGGAAAGGCTAAAAATAACGCTACCACCTCAAGAGTGTGGCGTTGTCGGAGGAAGCAGCCAGCGCTGATCATGAGGCAGCCGATGCATTCTGTAGTGGGGTACCATTTTGTATGCATTTACAGGCCCTCGTCACTGAAATACGTTAATAAATAGTTAATTTACGGACCAGTAAAACTTTTTTGCGTTTAGTTTTGCATTTCAGTGTACAACTCATGCTATATTAGGGCTATAATAACATGTATTGGGGATAAAATTCAAGCAGTGGATGGTCTCACAGACTTAAAAACATGAGCCCCTATTTTCCCATTTGTTAATGGATTTACAATTGCATAATTTCACAAATGTGTAACTCCTTTAGGGATGCAACTTCTCCCAAAAATGAGGATTTACTGCACCCTTGTGAATCACATTCAGATAAATTAACAACATAGGATGTCACTATCATCACTCTTGGTTGAATGATCCATCAATAATTTTTTTTTTTAAATAAGTATCCTTCTTTAATATTTCTTACATGAGCTTGCCGAGGCATCAGCTTTATGTTTCTGGCCAATAGCTGATATCTTACAAAAGAGGGCATGTGATGTTATAATGTAAAGGGATCTTGGAAGACCTCTTCATTATACACACACAAGCTCACACATAAACACAACTTGTTTGAGTGCTACAACACATCTTTTTATACTTTAAGTTGTAAAACACAATACAGAAGTAATGCAGTGTTATATATCTATAAATTATATGACCTATATTGTGACACAAATTATGCGTAACATTTAAAGACTTTATTCGTTGCCAAGATGGTCAAGCATGAGATGATGTGTGGAGGTGTGTGATGTGTCCCATATGGTGATTCACTGTTTGGCCCAGAACCAATATTTAAAACTCAGGATACATTCATAATAGAGTACTAAGCATTACTCAACACATTTATGTGAATAAAATTTATACAGAGGTGCCTTGTCCTTGTTAGCATACCATACCTCAAATTCTGGGGCTATGAAGGGCTTTAACAAGCTGAGTCTATCAGTGCATTGGGGTGCCAAGAAAGAAGTGTGAACATTAAGTATCTTTTCAGTTATGGTACTTTAAGTGATCTATGCCAACATGTGAGGATTGACTACATGCCCAAGAACAAATTATCCTTGCTTCAGCCCAAGAATCAAGGGATAATTGCCACCTTAAATTCCTTCTATTTTAGAAGATCTCTCTGCCAAATCATACAAGCCACTGATGGGGAAGAGAATCAACAATAATGGAATTCTGGCTCATACATAAAATCATGAGTACTGTTGACAACATTGCTAATTCGTGAGCTGAACTGAAACAGTCAACTATGAATATTTCATTTGGAAGAAAATCTGGCCAGAGTGAGTGCACAACTTCAAAGGACTTCCGACAAGAGACAATCTGCAAACAATTCAACAACATATAATAACTTTCATGAAAGACATTGGCTTTGAGGTAGTAAAAAAAGCTGATGTTGTTTAATTACTCGAGGCAATTGATGAACAACTCAGCAATGATGATTTACTGATGCTAGCAAAAGAGCAGCTGCAGGAGTTCAGACATTCCAGTAGCCCCACATCAGCTGACCAAAGAACAATTGCCAGAAGTCTTCAGTAGTTTTGACCATGAACTTGATATCTTGATTGAAAAATGACCTCAGCCATGACTGTAGCCTCAAATTAAAGAGATCGACAGAGGATGCACTCAGCTGCAGACTGAGAAGAAGAAAACAGCATATCAATCAACACTGGACTCATATTTCAGACCAGGACCTACTCTTCTAATGCTGTTACCACCTAAGGAAAATGATGTTGCTGATGATCTACAGGGGCTCTTACTGCCCCTCCCTCACCCTCCAATATCTCCTCAACATCTTTGCACATCAAATTCACAGTACAGTACTGTATCTGGTTAGTAAATTAGTTTTGTTTGTCAATATATTGCTGCTAACCCAATAAAGTGTGGAAAATAGCCATGTGACATTGATGATGATGATAAAGTACACTGCCGTTTCAATATTTATGCATGCAAATATTTAAGTTGTGTTTCAAGAAAATATTTTTTGAGGAACATATCTCCCAATTTATAACAGTAATCAATGGATAAATATGATTCAATATGTGGTTATTCAATTCAAGCCAGGGTTTTTTGGAACCAAATCCTATTGCAAATCAAAATACAGTATACTGTACCCATATCCATCAGGTCTCAATAAGAAACTTGGATATGTCAAGAAACAATCAACTCCTTTCTGGATTACTATAGTTCCAGTCATAATTAGGTAATGAAAACCTTGGGTTTTCACCCCATGGACTTGTTGACTACAGTATATGTTAGATGCCTGAACAAGGTATATAAACAGGTGCTTTGACTTTGGTACCCCTCATGGGATGCTCCTGGTTGAATTTGGTGATAAAATTTAATGAATAGCTGCTACACTGACATACCACTGCAGAATATAGGTGATTCTTCCTCTTAGAAGCTCTTGACAATTTTTTTACACAAAATTGAGAGACTGAACTACACACCAGAGAGAAGTCGTTTCTCTCTGCCACACCATCAACCACACAAGTTGTTAACTTATGTGAAAGTGGGTCCAAAGGGCCAGATACTACTGTATAATGCTATCACTGAGCTTCAACAACTAAGGTCTTTAAGTGCATAACAAGGTTGGTAATTACTCTAGTCCATCAACAATTAAACAGTATTAGAGATAGTAGTCTGTATTTGCTAAGTCTTCAGTACACAAGGAGGCAAAGTAACCAGCACTGCATTCAACAGTTTTCACTTCATTGATTGCATAGCTACATACTCAATCATAGCTGGGTGGACTGGAGGTGCCCAAGGTATGAACCAGCAATTGTATCCACTCAACCACTGCACCCCTCTTTGTAAACACTTGCAAAACGGTGTAAACTTGCGTAGAAATGCAAACTAACCTTATACAGTGTACAGCACAACATCTAATACTGTGGAGGACAGCCCAAGAGCCAGGCCCCATGTAAAAATATGTAGGGCCAACATGAAGTCTCCTTAAATAACAGTCAATACGCTGAGTATTGCCTTGAGAAGATTGGTAAATGGAGTGAGTCAGCTTTATAGATTATGTAGTAAGCTGTAAGACTATCATATAACTCTGCAGACTTCCTTGGCTCAAAGTTGTCCTGTTTTGAGGGTGATGGTTTATAAATGGGAGTAGGTTAATCTTTGGATTAATCCCAACTGCCAGAGTTTAGGGTTAATTGACCCAAACCCACCCAGCTTCAGCAGTGGGCAGATTGTCTTTGATTACCTCAGGGAGTGGCAACCATGCCTTCACAATTGTTCCCACCCTGTAGGTTGGCATTAGGAAGGACATCCAGCAATAAAACTTTGCTTCAAAATGCCTGATGGCAACAGGGTCACCAGAGCTGTTCCTATCTCACGGTCTCTGTTGCTTCTTCTGGGCTGATGCCCTGAATTTGCAGCAGTGAGCTGGGGAGGGTATCCCATTCTGGTTTTACCCAACAGCTGCCATCAGGTAATTGCGGATATCCTATGCAAGCATTGAAAATGGCCCTAAAACATTGATGGTGATGATGTAGCTCACATGCATGACTGACCTGGTCAAGTACAAGCCGTTGTCTGATGGCGGGTGGACACTCGAGGAATGCTTCAGAATTCTTGCTTTCTATGATCAGATGAAGTGAAAGAGTGGTCAGAGGGGGTAAGCTTCCTTGGTCTTATGGTTTTTCTGCCTTGGAAGACAACATCTATGCCTATTAAATACTGTACCCTTTTCCTTTCAAAACTGAAGGATCCAGGTAAAGCTAGTTGGAAAGACAACTCTATCACATTTGCTTGTCAGTGCTTTATCATGGACCCACCATCAGCCTCAAAATAAAATACACACACACACGCATACACACAAACACATAAAAGGGACTACCAGATTATTGAGGACTACAGTGCATCACAATAATAGTAATACCTTAACTACACTGAGAACAAGGATATATATGCAGTATAAAGATACATATTTAAAAGGTTAACTTATGTTTGACATCTCTTATTTTCTGTAACTTACGGCTTGAGGAACTTGAATCCATGGACACACACCAGGATGTTGCCAAAGCCATCTACCTTGAGCAGGTTTCCATACAGGCGATCAAACCAAAGTCCCCTGGGAAAATGAAAACACAATATATCATTATCATAAACAACTCATACATTCTTTTACACTATATCAGGAGCCATACAGACGAGGAGGCAGAAATATACACGAGACTTCACTCACTCTCTCCCTCTTCTCTTCTTTCTTACTCTTATTCTCCTCCTCTCTCTCTCTACTGTCTCCGTCTCTCTCATTTCTACTTTCTTTTTCTCTATACATTACAGTACTTGTATTACTAAATCTCTCTTTACTACATAATTTCTTTCTCTTCCATTAACTCTATGCTAGTTCCCCCTCTCATACACATCTTGAATCAAATAATTAACTGTTGATTTGTTCTGTTTTAAGGAATAACTCACACAACTCTGTACACTACGCCCATATTGATAAGATACAGTACAGTACATTTTGTTGAAATTAGAGATAGCATGTAGTCTTCAACTTGTCTAGCCAATATAACTTGTATTGTAGAGGGGAAGGTGACATACTGGGTGGGAAAGGTGATTTGTTGGGTGGGGAAGGTGATATACTGGTGGGGAAGGTGATATATTGGTGGGGAAGGTGATGTGTTGGGTGGGGAAGGTGATATACTGGTGGGGAAGGTGATACTGGGTGGAGAAGGTGACGTACCTGGTGGGGAAGATGATATACTGGTGGGGAAGGTGATATACTGGTCGGGAAGGTGATACTGGGTGGGAAAGGTGATATACTGGTGGGGAAGGTGATACTGGGTGGAGAAGGTGACGTACCTGGTGGGGAAGGTGACATATTGGTGGGGAAGGTGACGTACCTGGTGGGAAAGGTGGAATCATACTCGAACTCTGAAATCTCCTCCGGGTAACCTATGTGGATGAGTCTCTGCTTGAGGAGGTTGAATCCCAGAGTCTCATACTGTGGTGACTTGTACTCTGAGGGTAAAGTGGCTCTTGTTATTACTTGTAGTGTACATATCCTCTCACCTTACATGAGGATGGGAAAAAAATATTATAATAAGTTATCTAAATTCATGTTACAATAATCTTTTTTAAAAATTACTTCTTGATGTATTGTATAGCTAATGTAATGAAGCTTAAAACTCTACACTGTTTAACCACCTTGATATACAGAGCTAAAGGAATATTTACAGCAGACTGTACTTAGACTATACTGTACATTCTTGGTGTGAGATAACGTATCAGGTACTGCATTGTACAGTATTCACTTTGTTCGTGTGAGAATATATAATGGTGCCACAAGACAACATGTTGATATGACACAGTCAGGCATGGGGCTGAAGCTGGCTTTGAAGACAGACACATCACAGGCTTCAGCTTTGAAGCCAAAGGCATAGCACCAGCTTCAAAGCTACAGGCCTGGCTTCAGATTTCCATCTTTACACAAACACACTGACCATATTACAGTACAGTATATAATTGTATTTTTATAATATTAAATAAATATGTAATTAATGGAGGATCCAAGGCGGCAATTTTGACCTGACTAGACAAGTGATATGGTTTGTTGTGTCGGCGCCAAAATTACTACCAGTATTTCAGTGACCAGTGCCGACACAAGAACATTATGTCACAGGTCAATCAAGTCAGAATTTCCACTCCAGGTAGTGCCAGGGAAGGTAAACTTTAGATGAGGTCAGGTTATATGTGAGTCAGCCATGTGACCCTGATCTGACCTTACATGAACTGTGATCCATACTGACATTACCAGTCATCCCTGCTGGTCTATTCTCACAAGGACCTGACCTAAATGTTGCTTCTCTGTGATTTGTGACTAAGTTATGACATTTATGTATGGTATTATGGACAAAATAAACTTAGAAAGATATATAATTACTATAAGTAACCTTTTCAGTCTATTGGGAGAGTCAAAACTAACCCCAAGAACAACTACCTTAAAATAAAGTCAGCTTATCTCAAATCCTTGCTGAAACTTAGAATACCATAGATATTCCCATCAACATACTATACACCTATAAGGTAATACAGCAAACAGTATTATATAAATAATGGTGTTAAGGTTTTACGAAGCCTTGAAAAGTTTTGGCTTTGACTTCAGCTTAATGACTTTTTAATGTCTGGCTTTGGCTTTGTGACTTTTTTATTGTTTCTTCTTCAGCTTCATGACTTTTTTAATGGCTTCGGCTTTGATACCAGAGGCTTTGTTTAGCCCCCGTGCCTGGACACAGTATTGGTGTAAGACAACAAATTGTTATTGTCCAAACCCAAAATGAAGGTGAAAGAAACCAGGCACTTGGTATAAATAACAGAGGACAATACTGTATTAGCATTACACAACATATCATAAAAGTAAGAAAACATATTATTGGTGTGAGACAACATATTACTGGAGTGGAATAATATATGTATGAGACATCACAGTATACTGTCAGTGTAATGCAACAGTGTAGGGGTGAGATTAAACAGTGTAGGTGTGAGACAACACAGTGTAGGTGTGTGAAATAAAGGTGTTAGCATAAGACAGTGTAGGACTAAACACTAAATGGCGAGCCAAGACAGTGTTAGTGTGTGGACGTAAGGCGACACAGCTAGAACAGCATAAGACAGTGTACACATCAGACAACACTTTGCTGGTGTCAGAAAACATTGGTGAAGGTCTGAGGCAATGACTTGTACAGTATTGGTAAGACAACACAATGTTAGTGTAAGGAAAGACAATGTGTAGTGAGACAACACAGTGTTAGTGTAAGGAAAGACAATGTGTAGTGAGACAACACAGTGTTAGTGTAACGAAAGACAATGTGTAGTGAGACAACACAGTGTTAGTGTAAGGAAAGACAATGTGTAGTGAGACAACACAGTGTTAGTGTAAGGAAAGACAATGTGTAGTGAAACAACACAGTGTTAGTGTAAGGAAAGACAATGTGTAGTGAGACAACACAGTGTTAGTGTAAGGAAAGACAATGTGTAGTGAGACAACACAATGTTAGTGTAAGGAAAGACAATGTGTAGTGAGACAACACAATGTTAGTGTAAGGAAAGACAATGTGTAGTGAGACAACACAGTGTTAGAGTAAGGAAAGACAATGTGTAGTGAGACAAATAAATATTTCTGACGACAGAGATTATCAGGGTGAAGAAAAAGTGTCAGGGTGAGGAGAGACTGTCAGTGAAGAGTGACAGTGTCAGGGTGAGGAGAAACTGTCAGGGTGAAAAGAGTGACAGGGTGATGAAAGTGATGGGATGAGGAGAGACAGTTTCAGGGTGAAGAGAAGGTGTCAGGGTGAGGAGTGTCAAGAGGAAAGTATCAGGATGAAGAGAGACAATGTCAGGGTGAAGAGAAGGTGTCAGGGTGAGGAGAGTGTCAAGAGGAAAATATCTGGGTGAAGAGAGAGTCAGGGTGAGATACAGTGTACGGGTGAGGAGAGACAGTGTCAAGGGAGGAGAGACTGTCAGTGAGGAGACAGTGTCAAGGTGAGGAGAGATTGTCAGGATGAAGAGACAGAGTCAGGGTGAGAAAAGACAGTATCAGGGTGAAGAGAGACAGTGTCAGGGTGAAGAGAGACAGTGTCAGGGTGAAGAGAGACAGTGTCAAGTTGAAGAGAGACAGTATAAGGGTGAGGAGTGACAGTGTCAGGGTGAGGAGAGACAGTGTCATGGTGAGAAAAGACAGTATCAGGGTGTAAAGAGACAGTGTCAGGGTGAAGAGTGTGTGTCAGGGTGAAGAGAGACAGTGTCAGGGTGAAGAGAGACAGTATAAGGGTGAGGAGTGACAGTGTCAGGGTGAGAAGAGACACTGTCAGGGTGAAAAGAGACAGTGTCAGGGTGAGAGAGACAGTGTCAGGGTGAGAAAAGACAGTATCAGGGTGTAGAGACAGTGTCAGGTGAGAGAGTGTGTCAGGAGAGACAGTGTCAGGGTGAGAGAGAGACAGTGTCAGGGTGAGGAGAGACAGTGTCAGGGTCAGAATGTCAGGGTGAGACAGTGTCAGGGTGAAGAGACAGGGTGAAAAGAGACAGTGTCAGGGTGAAGAGATGTCAGGGTATCAGGGTGAAGAGAGAGAGTGTTAGGGTGAAGAGAGACAGCATCAGAATGTGAGACAGTGTCAGGGTGAAGATATAGTATCAGGGTGAAGAGAGATAATGTCAAGGTGAAGAGAGACAGTGTCAGGGTGAAGGAGGACAGTGTCAGGGTGAAGAGAGACAGTGTCAGGGTGAGGAGAGAGTGTCAGGGTGAGGAGAGACAGCATCAGAATGTGAGACAGTGTCAGGGTGAGAGACAGTGCCAGGGTGAGAGAGACAGTGCCAGGGTGAGAGAGACAGTGCCAGGGTGAGAGAAACTGTCAGGGTGAAGAAAACAATTTCAAGGTGAGAGAGACAGTGTCAAGGTGATGGTAAGCGGTCCGACTAATTACCCAAATGTACCCAAATGTAGCCAAATATAGCCGGAATGAAGTCAAATAATGGTCCTAGATGAATAAATCGGACTGCCAATCACTTCTCGACTAGTATTTGGTGTCAGAAAGTCACAAAAAATTGGAAAACTTACTTTAATCTGAGTTAATAGATCGTGTGCATGTACCGAGGGAGCGAGGAATTACCCAAATGTAGCCGCAATGAAGTCAAATGATGGTCGTACAAGCGTAAATCGGGCTGTGAATCACTTCTCGATTATTATTTGGTGTCAAAGTAAAAAAAAATTGGTAAACTTAATTTCATCTGAGTTGTGTTGTGTTAGGTTAGGTTAGGTTAGGTTAGGTACATGCACTTGATCTATTAACTCAGATTAAATTAAGTTTACCAATTTTTTGTGACTTCGTGACACCAAATACTAGTCGAGGTTAGGTTAGGTTAGGTACAAGCACTCGATCTATTAACTCAGATTAAATTAAGTTTACCAATTTTTTGTGACTCTGTGACACCAAATACTAGTCGAGAAGTGATTTGCAGTCCGATTTATTCATCTAGGACCATAATTTGACTTCATTCCGGCTATATTTGGGTAATTAGTCGGACGCGATGGTAAGTGTCAGGTTGAGAGCCATTTACAACTGTCTTACCTGTTGTATGTACAGTACAATTAACACGCATGCATATCATTAACACGATCAAAGTCTAAAGTTCTCCTCATATCATACAAGATCACAATGATGAAAACAATCGTGATCAAATTACAATAAAATAGTAAAGTAAATAACCCACAGGAACACTTTTAACAGTCATCGCCACGAGCAACCTTGAATGGTGCCTTGTTATCGCTCAACATGCGTGCACAACACAAATAACTATTTACACTCAGTGAATATAAGAGTTTTTAATGGGGGGGAAGCAACCAGCACCTTCACGTGAATAAATAGATAAATAAATACAGGTTCTATGGTGCTGGAGTACGTACATAATACACAAATGTCTATCCCTGAATTTGTTAATGTATAATGTACAAACAAACTAAGAACCTTTATGATGATGTGAGTCACTATATATTACTCTCAATTTCAATAAAAGCAAAGTAATCCAACTATAACCCAGCGTCGCCATTTTGCTTTTAAGAACTTGTGTGATTGGAGTCGCACTTTTCCCGCCGAAAGGTCGTAGACTTGCGCAGTATTTAGTGCCATGAGAATAGAGGCTGCATCAGGACGAGATAATCAAATGTATGGGATATTATTACCTGCCAGAGTGTAGTCCATGTCGAAGCCATAGAAGCGGATTTTCTCGAGGTGTAGACTCCGGTTTACGAATACTCTGTAAACAAACAAGCCATCTTAGTGACCTGTATACTGTTATCTGTAGACAAACAATACCTCTTAGTTACTACCTGGTGGGGGAAAAAAACTCTGATCTAGAACTGAGAAATGCAGAAACCTGATAGTTGTAGCATTAGTAAATATGACAAATTTTGTGACGAGAGGTACCGGTATGGTCAGCATAAGGACAGAATCAGACAATGTGATGTAGTCGTGGCCAGAATTAGGCTAGGATACAGACACATCTGGCAAGTTAGTAATGCTGTACCCATACCGGAACACTCAGCATGTAAACTTTGTGATAAACCTTTAAAGCATACACTTGAACACTATATTATTGAAAGTGACACTGTCAAAAACTTCAGGCCACCTGGCTTACTGTATCATGAACTTTGTAATTAAAACATTGAATCGGGGGTGCTTGAGGACATTCTTGCTGTTTATCCCAAATTTGCTAGTCCACACTGATTAGTCTTCAATTAGAATATGACGTCCAATGTATGTGAACCACTGACCTATATATACTGTTAATGAATATGATGTATTTCTTTGTGTATGAATCTCTGTCCTGCATGACAGTGAACAGTGACATTACCCACATGAATCTAACCTATATATACTGTTAATGAATATGATGTATTTCATTGTGTATGAACCTCTGTCCTGCGTGGCAGTGAGAAGTGATACCACCCTCAGTGTCAAGACCTGACTGAATTACTCAGAATAGGCAAACTGTACTCCAAGCTTTGTCAATAAATTTGTTAAAGTAAATAAAAAAATGGCCCGTCCACTAATAATTGCATTGATGTTAATAACAATAATGGAGTGTGAATCATAACATATTATCGACTAAACTTTGTATACCAGCGTCTGAAAAAACAAACAAATAATGCGTAAATTTATAGGGAGGGGGTATAATTGCTGGTTGAAGCGAAGGATTACCACTCAATTATGTTTCTTTGTCGATTGTTCATGCAATGTACAGTACAGTAAATATTTTGAAACTTACCAGTGCTTTGGATAATTAAGGACTATTGGTGCGTTGAACAAAAGGAGGAGAGAATGGGACTCATTAAACCGTTCACACATACATACAGGGTGTGATCAAAAGGTTCTGGGACGGAATGTATTATGTGTGTACAGTATAGTGCAAAATGAGTTCGTTCCACTAAAATGGTAAAAAAAAAATATCAGTGTTTGATTTGGACATTATGGCACGCCAAATGGGTTGAAAATAGTGGTAGGTTTATGAGGAAGTTGCATCATGACTATGCAGTCTCAGTCCTCTCCATATAAGAAGTCTTAACCAAGCACAGCATTCCACAGGTTAGCCAATATATTCACCTAAAGAACACCATCAATAGGAAAGAGACTTCAGGAATTATCCCGATACAAAATCTGACGTGGAAATTCAATGTCATCCCGAGCAGCGTACCAGAGATGCTTCAACAAACAACAGGAAGGAGGAATCACTGTGTGCAATCAGGGGTGGACTACACTGAGGGTAATGTATACAATATATAAGTCAGACTTAAACAATCTTTACCACGGCCGAAATAGCCTAAAGGCAAAGTGGTCAGTAATCCCCAAAACAAGTACAATCTTTACCATCACTAACCACAACGACACGATACGGGTCACAGCCGAGTAGCTCCTCACTCCCACCACTCCTATATCCTGTTTTACGACATTTTAACTGGTATGTAATATAGTTAATGGTTATGTACTGTATTTTTCTTACATATAGGTTTTGAGTCTGCTATTACAGCTACTGTACTTGCGATTTTGCTGTGTGTTAAATGTATGAATTTTGGCAACTACTATTTTTGTTTTAGTGTCTTGTTTAAGCTTTTTCTTAGGGCGTTTATAGTAGGGTATAGTCAATGTTGTACCGGTAGTTGATTTTGTGTCAAGCTAGGATTCCATTCACGCGTTACCGGTTGCGTTAGCGTTAACGCCAAAAATAGATAACATTGAAATGTACACGGTTGTTTCCATTGATAAGGCTGCGTTAGCGTTATGCCTTTGCAGTACATGGCAATCGCTCACTGTAGCGATTGAAAATGCAAACGCATTGCAAACGCGTGAATGGAATCCTAGCTTCATATACAGTATCTTATTTAATATACATTAAGTCGAAGGTGGTGATGACAAGTGTCGAAATAATCACCGTATACATATGCTGCTGTTATTCATCCTACGTATGTGTGTGTGTGTTTGTCTTACATACTTGAGAGCAATGAAAGTCTCATTTGCTAACAAGACTGGGTACAAGCGTGTGGCTACTGTTCAGCGCGTGCTGACCCACATGTTTACTTTTATCCTCTTCGCCACTGATAGACAAGTTAGCCGCTTGGGCGGTCGGTCACGTCTCTTTTACGCATTGTTGGCCAGTACTGGGCAGGTACTGACTCCTGAATATACGGAAACTTGCTCCAGTGTCAGTCAAGTCTGACCATGATTGAGCTCGCACTCGGTAGATTGTTCCAAGAGTTCACAACTCTCACTCCGAAAAAGTTTGCCCTCGCAGTTTTCTGGACTTGTGGCTTCTTCAACCTTCAGCTGTGACCCCTCGTGGAGCGGGCGTCCGCCAGCCCCAGGTAAGTATGTACACTAGACCGAGTAGTGCCCTCTGAGATGTTTATACACTTCAATTAGGTCACCCCTTGCCCGTAAGAAGTTTAAGCTAGGCAGTTGCATGTGTTCTAATCTCTGGGTAGCTGAAGTTCCGTAGAGCAAGCACCAGTATAGTAGCCCTCCTTTGGATATTTTCATCAATTTTGGTTTACTGCAATCATGCAGATTTGTACGGAAGCTGTGATTTCTGCAACTCTGTGAATTTGTCATGCTCGTTCTGCTGTACAATATTGTAAGACGCTAAAAGCATGAATAGGTTTTACTAGCCTGTCTATTCCAGTAATTTATCAATGCGGACACGCCCTGGCTATTGCTATTTTTTTTTTTAAACGGGGATTAGCCCACCCGAGCACAGGTCACTGGCCAGCATCAGGGCCTGGGGGGCGAAAATGTAATGATGAAGATAATAATAATTCATAGTAAATAAACTTTATAATAACAATTAAAAATAAAATAATAATAATAACTATTACTATAATAAAAATAATAATAATAATAATAATAATAATAATAATAATAATAATAAAAAGAACCATAAATACAAAAATGAAAAAAAGATCAATAGTGAGAAACAATATAAGTACGTTGTGTTGTCAATACAGTAGTAAGAGAAACAATTGAGACCCTGCAATTGTGTAAATGAGGCAGAAAGTCAGATCAGCAACCTGGGATTTCGACAACATAATCTGCTGTTAAAGAATTTATTGGTTTTGTTTGTTTAACATGCAAAATGAACGAGCTTTTATACGAATATATATATATATATATATATATATATATATATATATATATATATATATATATATATATATATATATATATATATATATATATATATACACACATATATATATATATATATATATATATATATATATATATATATATAAACACTGATAACGGGATATTAAATGTTAGATATTAAGGTCATGACTTTGCTTGGGAGTTGGTATCCCCGCATCCCCTGAGCAACGCTCTCGTGCATTATGCAGAAGACCCGACAGCCGCACCCTTATCCACCACCTCCTAAGATGTCCCCACACACAACGCTTCCGTGACGCCTGCTGGACCACCACTCCACGACCCCCTGACGGAGACAAGATGATCCTCCCCATACTGCCCAGATATTATGTAAATAACATTGATTATGTGTTAAAGGAATATCCTTCCTTCCTTCCTTAGGTTTTAGTAAGCCCCTTTATAGTATTTATATTGTATATACTTGTCACACTTGCCAGATGCTTCTGGTGTTATTGTACAGGGGTACCTAGTGACAGCACTAGGATCCCGCTTCCTCTATCAAGGAATAAACAATTGAAATTGAAAACAAAATATTAAGGTCATTCGTGTCGGAGGTTAAACAAGTGAACAAATAAAATGAGTGACTTATACGTGACATACAAACAAGAGATGCAAGTATCCTCCATCACAGTGTTTTGAAACGTGTCGTTTAAGACCTTCGTATTAATCATACAGCATTGATGAATGTAATGTGCGGCAACCACGATAGCTCACAATGTCCAAATTTAAATATTCTTACGTTTCTTGAATTCTAGATATGCATATATAACTAGAACAGACTCCATTTTTTAGATATTTACTTTTGGAAGAACGCTAGCTTTTTCATCTTCAGGTCAGACAACGTACTGACACAGCCCTAAAATACAAGTAGGCTTTAGTAAATACTAAAACACAACACATGCGATTTATTAATGCTCTTTCATACATTTGACTTTTGCTTGATGTCTTCAACCTGAAAACACTAATAAATGTATTCATGTTGGATTTTAGTAAGTGCATCATCACCCGTTTTCCGGAACTCTTCGGTTTGACGAACGGCATTTTTTTTTAATAAAAACCCATTAATCTGACGTAAGAGGCTAGCCTGTGAAACGTAAACAAACGTCGAGCAGTGGTCATAAAATTTCTAGCTAACCTAACCTACACGAACTTTCCGAGTTCAAATAATCATTTTGGTACTTTCTACTATTTTCTCTGTGAAAATAAATACATTTTTGAAACGAGAATGTAAACCTACGTCTGGCTGATGTGTTTTTACTAAAAACAAATAAATGCGGCCCATCAAACCGAAAAGATCCCATTTTCCTTAACTGACAATTACTGAATGTAAGGCAGACTTTTTTTGTCCATTTACATATATAAGCAGAAGTTATTTTATTTTGAGGAACATCGTGTTTACATAAACCCTTCAACTAAGATATAACCCCGCCAACAGCACACACAACCCCGCCAACAGCACACATAACCCCGCCAACAGCACATATAACCCCGCCAACAGAACTTACAACCCTGCCAACATAACCTATATCCCCCGCCAACAAAACATACCGTACAACCTCA